GATATAACATAATTAAAAAACTTGAAACTGCATATAATAAGTTATATTTAGATGTAGGACATAAATTAGAAGGTTCTGTAATATAGCTATATAATTAATATCTATTGCAATGGATAGAGTTAGTACTTTCTGGTAAACAGAAATTTTATACGCTTTCTAGGTACCCCATTTGTGGGTGTTTTTTCACTTTAAAATAAGGACTAAATGAAAACTTGCCTAGTGTATGAAATTTAACAAGATTATGGTCCTTGACTATAGAATATTGAATTTATGTTACTTTATTTAGGCTCTAAATGTAGTAAAAACAGTGAAATGAATCACCCCCAGGTCTATGTGTAGCAGTGAAAAATAATATTGTTAAAATAATAGTTAAAAATCGTTGTAACAAAAGTAATTAAATATTTTAAATAAGTTTTGTCCTTATTTATATCAACACAGTGAAACATTACTTTAAAACAATGGTAAAATAACAAAAGTACGAAAAAAGGAAATTAAATGGTATGTTTTTAATTACAACTAACTTTACTATAGTGTACACATTATAGCAATTAAAGTTTGCTGTGCATTCGAATGTTGTTGAACAAATTGAGAAATCAAGCAAAAGTAGCAAGTCTTTAACTGCTATTGCATAATTCCTCGAAAGTTATTCTTGTGTGCGTCATAAATCCCTATAACGAGGACTTATCTCGTTATAGGGATTGATTGAAGTTTCAGAAAATATTCCAAAGGTTTTTTTTACAACATTTGTTTTTTAGAAGCAGTGCCATATATAGTATAGATTTCTATGTAGCTTTTGTGGGAGGAAAATACTTAGAAAGCTGGTCTAATTCTTCCTTATGCAATTGACTCTGATAAATGTCATTTCACCCCAGTTTGTCTCACTATTTTACTATAGCTATTTTATATAGATTTCTCATTTACAATTTTAATTTTAGAGCATCTGCTCCTTCCTTTTTTGCCACCCTATTGCTCACTATTATCCTAAGAGATACAGCTTATGTCGATGCATGTTCTTGGCTTTATATTTTTAACACCGTAGCTCCTAAAATTAGGCACTTATTTTTAATAACTCTAAATTAATATTATCCTTACAGGTTAAGTGAAAAGTGTCTTATTGAAACTTATTATTTTCATTATCAACTGAACTGAGACAGAATAGTACTTCAAAGAAAAAATGTTAAGACTTTTATGACCACATTTTTCCGGCATTGTCTCTATTATTATCTATCTAATGATAGGCATACACGCACTCCGTAATTTTACAGGCTTCTTTAGTGCCAAGATTCATAATGAAATTGAAAATACTTATTTTAGATCTCCTCTTCAAGGTATACAAAGATATTATTTTCTAGTTTTCTAAATTAAAATAATAGCTTTAAATTAGTAAAAAAATGTGTAATAAAAGACAGTATAAACCATTAAAAAAATTTCGGGTTGCTAAAGCTCTTGAGACTCATTGGATAAGCGCCAAATTTTGTCTTATTCAGTAGTCAAGTCTGCTGGAATAGCATATGGTACAGTATCAGTAGTTCTGTGTTCTAAATCCAGTTTTAACCTAGACAAACAGAATTATTTGAAGAACTCAGGTTACTTTTGCTTCAAATCTGTTTCCCCATCTGTTAAAGTGGTTAACAGAATTTAATATAATTTGAAAGTTGAATAATAAGGATTTTAAATTTCTCTACATTAGTTGTCATATATATTCTACGCTTCATAAAAATTGAACAAAAATATACTTCCTTATATAGAGGAAAATGAACATAAGATTTTAATTATAATATAATTGAAGTATATATTGCATTAGATAATCTTATTAATTTATAGTAAACAAAATGCTTCTATTTGCAATGGGAGAAGGAAAGTAAAGTAAAAGTAAAAGGCCCTCCCGTTGATCATCAATTTGCTCGAGCGGGCCCAGTAACGTCTCCATTGGAGACTTTGTTGTTACTGTGTCTGGATAGTCTAATGTTGGGTACTAATACTGGAAAGCTTACGTGGTACATATTAAATTATATTCTCATTGTATCCTCCAATTCTCTGTTTCTTAATGTCCTCTCTTTATAGAGGTAAGGAAATAAATCATAGTGTCCTCAAAGACTGTCAATACACCTCCACCTGCATTCTTATTTCTCTGAGCCAAAGTATTATCTTGCTGCAAGTTGTTGATGAAGCTTTGTCATTATGATTTTATAGATCTTTATCTGATCACTGAATTGCAGATTATATAGAACACGGTGCAGTGGTGCAGTGAATACTTAAAGAAATTTCCATTCTTAGAAATCCATGCTAACTACTTTATCTTGCTAGATAACCATTTTTTTTTTTTAAGTAGGAAGGCTATGTCATTAGGAGTGTTTTAAATGTCGTTTTATTTTGGAATCAAATTTACATTTACCTGTGACTAAGATTTGTAGTAAGTGCTATTTAAGATATGTGAAATTGCATTATGTTTCTTCACCCAATAAGATCATGAGGGGTTTCTTTATGCTCCCACCAAGGAAAGGCAACTAAAGGCAGACTGACTTCTGAGGGCAGTAGTTAACTGTATATTTACAAAGGCATAGTGTAGTTGTGTTTAAATATGTGTCACCTAAGTATCTATTTCAATACAATACATCTTTCAGTTCCATAATTATCTAAGTACTATCTTGTTCATGTAAAACAGATTTATTTTCCTGAAGCTCAAAAGATGATTTTGAGCTCTCAGTTGTACCATGGGTGTGCATTAAGTATTCAAGCAAATGAACAAAAAGAGGAGAGTGACTCAACTTATTTTCTGGAAAATATGCCATCTTGATATGATAGGATTGTCTTTTCTCCCCAAGAGTAATAATGTGATTAAATTTCTGAATAATAGCTGAGATTATAAAATAAACTTGAATATATTAAACAAAAAGTTTTAAATTCGTTTTATAAATTAATAACGTTTTATAGGTATGGCTTATTAATTTCTTTTTAATCGAAAGTAATACTTAGGTGTCCTTTTCATAAATTGAGGGATAAACTGAGTTTATTTGATACATTCTACATATAGTTTCATCAGTTATTATTTTTAAATAATAAAAATTTGCTAAATTTTAATTGAAAATAAATGTTTGTGGCCAGTGATACTGAATGGGCTGAGTGTACTTGAGTTACTGGAGAGTAGATTCAAAATGAGCAAAACAGTCTAACTAGAACGTGATAGAGGCTTTCTCTTCATGTGTCTTTTCTTTACTGAGAACAGCTGTTTTAGAGTGTTTGGAACTTAGCCTTTCAGCAGAAATAAACAGTCATCATCATCTCTGTTTAGCTGTTGGCTTTTTTCTCACTTCTGAGTGAGTAGATTCTTACAGGGTTTCCTTACTTCTAATCATAAGGAAGTTAGCCCAGTAGAAAGCAGCCTGTTTTATAAAAAATAGTTACCTTGAATGAAACATTTTAGATGTTGACGCTACTCTGTAATCTCCCATGGCGGCTGGGGAAGGCCCCGGCACTCTCTCCTCACCGCCAGTGTTTGGGGGGCCTGGGAGGAGAGCGACCCAAGGCCATGGTGCAGATGGAAGAGAAATCGAGGAACAAGCTGGTTGGTTGATCAGATGCCGTTTATTCCATTCTTCCCACGCACCTGTTCCAGTCTCCCTGAGCCCCCCATTCTAGTGTCATGCTGCCCCTCATTCCTGTCTCCTCCTGTCTCTCCCACTCATCTTTCTGCATTCCATCGCGCAGCCTGGACTCTCTCTCCCCCCCCCCCTCTCTCTCTCTCTCTCTCTCTCTCTCTCTCCCTCTGTCTTTCTCTCCCTCCGTACCTGCTCTTGTATTCTTCTTCTACATTCTTCTCCCTCTGCCCCCCTTGCTAGTCTGTCCATGCCCCATCTTGCTGCCCTTCTCTCTCTCTCTCTCTCTCTCTCTCTCTCTCTCTCTCTCTCTCTCTCTCTCTCTCTCCAACTCTATTTCACAACTCCCCAGCACTGGGGTAGACACTATACCCAGTCAGGTAGCAAAATCAACATAAGAAAACCCTTCCTTTGCTCACTGGCAAAATACCACTTAAGGTGTTTTTCTACTTTCCTCAGCCCAATAACTTAATTAACATCCTAATTCTACTTCTTAATATCAGTTATCTTTGTATGGACACAGTAAGAGATACATTTAGGCTTGTAGGGCAGCTCTCCTGGGAACATCTTGCCACAGACCCAGACTACCGTGCTCAGGCCAGATTAATCTTTCCTGACCCTAGCAGGGTCCAAATCTAGTTATTACCTTTTGGATCATGACAGCATTTGTCCATGACCAAGTTCTTAACTTATAGTTAAGCATCATGGCACTTTGGCCAGGCCCATTTCGATGCCAGGGTAACACATAGCTCATCGCTTGCCCAGGGTTCATCCAGTCCCTTGTCGGGACCCTGCATTTGGGGTGCTAGAAAGTCAGGGCAACTGAGGGTTAAGTCAAGAGAACAGATGTTCAGGAGGCAAATATCATTGAGAGTCCATTAACTCCCACATAACAAAAGCATAGCATTTAGCATTTACTGTCTTCTTGTGTCCATACCAAAAGGACATTGCTCTGAATTAACTATGCAAAGGATTTAGGAATGAGAAAAATAATATTTACAAGCCAACAAAGCACAACGAAAAAAGTTACAAATAAACACAGGAATGGGAGCACTGTGATGGGAGTAACTCAATAAACCTAACCTCCCTATGGCAACATGGAAAGGACAAACCAATGATATACTTCAGTCTCTATCATATCTCTTCATGTTCCTTTTTGTTCTTTTATTTTTGGATTAATGTTAGCTACAGATGCAAATCTGACCAAATTTGTCCAATCATTTGCTCTCATTATTTTGTCTTTAAATGGAAATAAACGTTTGTTGATATACTTGAAACACAATGTTATCACTGACATGTATCTTTCACAAATAAAATGCCATATACTCTTTTTGCTAAATATTATTAAATGAAAAAAATGTATTTGCTCTCAAATTTTATTTTCATTTTTTTTTGCTTACCCAGCCTGTGGCCGTGGGTTCTATAAATCTTCTTCTCAAGATCTTCAGTGCTCTCGTTGTCCAACTCACAGTTTTTCTGATAAAGAAGGTTCTTCAAGATGTGAATGTGAAGATGGATATTATAGGGCCCCTTCTGACCCATCGTATGTTGCATGCACAAGTAAGTTCATAGTAAAATAATAAAGGACATTTAGGACAGATTAATCTTTCAGATTAACACAAATTAATTTGTGTTCCATGATGTCATTAAGATTGTATTGAGATTTGTAATATTTATTAAATATTTATTAATTATTAATTAATAAATTTATTAATTTATTAAATATTTTAATTTTCAATGAGCATATAAGGCTAAATAATATGTAATCAATGTTTTATCATCTTCAGTGTAATTTTTATTCCTGAAAAATCAAGGTGATTTTTAATATTCTTGTGTGTCCAGTAGAAATCATGAATAAAATGTAAACATTGTGTTTTACCTGCATAGGAAATGTGTTTTATAAGTAATAGTTTACATAATATTATTCCATCACCAATATGATCAGGGTTTGTTGCTTCAGTTAATGAATGTTTGAGTCAAAAATCCCAAGCTAATCCCAGCTATCACTTTAAGTCATTCTTTTGCACATCAAGAATAGATACATTCTCTGTTAGATGGTTAAAAAGGAAAGTATTTTTAAATAATTGCACACTTTTTAAAAAGTGCATTAGCTATTCTTTATGCATTGCATGGAAGTAAAATAGCTAAAGACCATAGCAAAAAGTACAGGCAGGTGATACTGTTTTCATTTTGACATTTTAAATGGAAAATGAACAAAGAGTAACAGTGAATCATGGAGGTTTTTATTACATCTTTTTCTCATAAAGATAGTGAAATATTAAAGTGAAAAGAAATCATTTCAGCATAATTTTCTATATGGTAAGTGAACTATTAGCCGTTGTGCCCCTCATAGATTATTTTTTTCTATCTTTATTTTTTTAACCTTTTCCAAGGGCCTCCATCTGCACCACAAAACCTCATTTTCAACATCAACCAAACCACAGTAAGTTTGGAATGGAGTCCTCCAGCTGACAATGGCGGAAGAAATGATGTGACCTACAGAATTTTGTGTAAACGGTGCAGTTGGGAGCAGGGTGAATGCGTTCCCTGTGGGAGTAACATCGGATACATGCCCCAGCAAACTGGATTAGAGGATAACTATGTCACTGTCATGGACCTGCTAGCCCATGCAAATTATACTTTTGAAGTCGAAGCTGTAAATGGAGTTTCTGACTTAAGCCGTTCCCAGAGGCTCTTTGCGGCTGTCAGTATCACCACTGGCCAAGCAGGTATGTTTCTGTATTTGTCTTCACTTAGTGGATTATGTGAGTGTATTTAACTGCAGGGTCTTAACTGAATATTTTGTTAACGTTGTTACACAGAACTTGATTAGTCCATCGTGTTGATTATTCACAGCTTTAATTTTTATTTGTTATCCCTCCAGTTGCCCATTAAACTATTACTGTATTCATTAACATCTGCAGAGATTTGAGAGCAAAAAATAAAAGGATAAATTGTAAAGGAAATTTGACAGCAAAAAATAAAAGGATAAATCTCTAAGATAAGCAGCTTTGGGAAAAGATCTAGAAGAGAGTGAAAATTCTGGGGATAATGTGATGTAGCATAGATACGTCTTGCATTTCTATATTTATGATCATAAAAGAATAAAGATTATGCAAGATTTGGCTTCACTGGTTCACATGTGTTTGTTTTTTTTGAATATGTAGAGTATGATATTTTTAATATGTGACAGTACCATTAATTTTTTTCAATCAGTAGTGATTTTTTTCTTGTTATAGCAAGTTTCTTATGAGGATTTCAAAGGAAACTAATTATTGAATGAAAACCATGTAATTCTATCTTAACCTGAAAGCAGTTTTCGCTTATTTGCTTTCTGACATTTGTGATAAATGCCTTTTTTAGTCTTTCTTTGCCCTAGTATGTGTGTTTTGGAAGACTGTGAAGGCTTCAATTACTGCAGTTTCAGATACTGAAGACTTTATAAAGCTTTGGTTATAGTTTATTACTGATGAAAGTTTCAGAACCAGGTTCTGATCAAATGAATCTTAATTAGAAAATTATGAGGGGAAAGAGAGAGAGAGGAAGATGAGCTCAAGTGAGAAGTTGGGCTTTTCCAGAGTGGAAAAAGAAGATATACAGATGTGGAGAGATAATAGAGGCTTGAGAGGAAGCTGTCTTTCTTAAAGTTTTGATAAATCTGGCTTTCTTAGGAAGATGCTATGTTGTAGATGAAGCCAAGTGCTATGTCATCATCATTTAATAAAGTTAGACTTGCACAGATTGTAAATTGTCTGAGCTTTGTAATGGCTTATTAAAATGTTCTGATATTTAGCTGTCAGAGTTGACCGATGTTATCCCCAAATCCTGCATATCAGCTAATCTGTTCTTTATCTTTATGCCAGTTTTCTAAAATGTTGCATATTTAAATTATACCCACAGAATGAAAACTATGCATATGGTCCTATGCTTAGGATTTTGGACAGATTAGTTGGTTCTTATTCTATAGGCTTCATTTTCATGTTTATTTAACAGGATATTGCAAATCAAATCTCTTATGTAAAAGCAGTGGTTTATAAGTAAAAGAATGTGAAAACTTTTAAATTTTTGAAACTTTACCTTTACCTTACCTTACCTAGGAAAAATGAGAAAATGAGCTGATATTTGGGTTGCTTCATTGTATTTTCCTATTAAGTATTCCTTTTATTTATTTCTGATTAACTATATATTTATATGTGTGTATACACATATATACATATATGTACATATATGTTTGTGTGTGGAAGAGGAGCACCCAGTGATCTCAGAACTTACTCTGCCTCTGTGCTCTGGGAACGTTCCTGGGAGGGTTAAAGGTACCAAAACAGTCAGCTGCTTGCAAGACAAGTGTCTAAAATGCTATATTGCTCTGCCCCTTTGTTAGATGCACTATATTGAAAATTCTTATGTCAACTATAATAAAGGACATCTTTATTTTTAAATATATCATAAATATGCTGAATAAATGTTACACAGTTGAACAGAATTTTCCTGCTTTTTGAATATATATGTATACATTTTTATATTTTATATAAAGCTTTTAAGACTACATTAAATAGACCAAAGATTTCTCCTAAATCCTGAATCAAATATCTATCAGTAGTTAATTGATAACGTGTGATGATGTTATTTTTTTCTGATTTGTAACAAACCAGTATTTTTATTGATTTTGGTGAAAGTAATTTAGTTTTACAAAATTGGATGCAGTAATACAATTCTACAAACATACCTAAAATTATAATTAATTAATAAAACAATAGTATTTTATAGTATATAAATTATACCTGAATAGAGCTATTAATTTAAAGTAATTAAAAAATAAAAAATAAACAAAATAAATTAAAAAATAAAATTTAAAGTAATAAATACAATAAAGTTGAAAGCCAGAGATTAAAATTTTCATTTTAAAATGTTAATTCATATTTGTCTAATCTTTGTTACATCTCAAATTATAGAAACAAGCAAAGTAATAAATTTTTTTTATACTTTCAAAAAGAAATATGTATTCTGAATTTTTTGATTTAAGGAGAAATGTTTTGAATTGCTATTTTGCTAAATTAATTATTGTACAGGCTTTTAAGTTTATATACCCGCTTTCTGCTTCAACAGTGTTTTTGCAGTTTTCCAAATGGCCAGTGATTTGAAACTTTGTTTATGTTTATCTCTGGTCATGGGTATAAGCAATGGTCCTTGAAATTCTCATTGTCTCTTAGCCAAACAGCATGCCTCTCACCTAGTTTATGCTCTCACTTTAATGATAAATAAAATCTAGTTTTCTAATCATCACCAGCCTAACTGATACAAAATGGTTTCTTAACAGAACCTATGTATGAGCTAGAGAGAAAAAGGTTATAAAATAATCAGTTAATATGTGAAGGTTGTTTGTGCATTCTAACATTTCTTTAAGTTGTTGTGTTGAGCTCTCAACCTCATGTTAGCGTTTATATAATGAAACTATGCCAAAGACCCTTTGTTCTTTGCTTAGAGTAGGGCCAGTGTTATTGGTGTTAAAGGTTGTTGCTCTCAACTATGTCATTAATGTAGTATAGCTTTTTCATTGTTTATTCTTTTCTGCAGAAATAGCAATAGAGGTTTCTCTTTTATTATATAGCAATAGAGCTTTCTCTTTTATTATCCTATTAAGTGTAATTCTTTTAGAGAAAACTTAGAAAACTTGGTCATCCTGTAAGTGTTACATTAGTGGATGCTAATTAGCCCCTCTTGTGTGTAAGTTTTTGTGAACCTGACAAGGCAGAAAACAGTAAAATCTTTATTGAAGTAAGATAAGGAAATATTGGGATCTTAAATTAACAAGTATATTCTCGTATTGTACATAGGGGCCAGAGGTAGGCACAATATGTAGGTAGGATGCTTGCACTGTGCGTGACAACCTGGATTCAATTGCTGGTACCCTTTCTTGTCACCTAAACCACACCAGAAGTGATCCCTGAGTTCAGACTCAGGAATAAGTCCTGACACCACTGAATATGACCTACAATCTAGACCAAAACCAAGAATCAACACGCAAAAATCAGCACCCCTCAAAAAAATTCGTTGATTGCCTCGAGCAGGCCCCAGTAACGTCTCCTTCATCCTAGCCCTGAGATTATATTCAAGGCTCTTTAGGAGAATGAGACCCATCATTGTTACTGGTATTTGGCATATTGGGTACGCCACGGGGAGTTTGCCAGACTCTGCCATGTGGGCAGGCTACATTCGGTAGCCTGCCAGTTTGTCAAAGTAGGAATGAGATGTCATAATAAGATGTTGTGCGGCCGCGAATGCAGCCGCACGGTTCCGGGAGCTGGTTTTTATAGTCTCAGAGTCTTGGCCGCTGATGGGATTACACGGCGCCAGGGGGCCAGTTGGTGGGTGTGACCCCCGCCTACTGGAATTTGGAGGATCTGGGTGGAGGATGCTCGACTCCAATCCGAGTAGGCTTGGAGATCTCGGCCCCGGAATCCACGTGGCTTTGTCCCTCTGCCGGTACCTTCAGGTGTGCGGAGAGTGGTCTCAGCATGGTGGTGGCTGGTCCTGGAGGTCTTCGGCTGCCGGGGCCCTGGCCAGGGTGGGGAGGAAAGCTCAACCCGCTCCCCTCCAAGGGGCCCCGGCGAGGAATAGCCAGGCGCGGGGGCAGGAGACTGCCTCAAAAATGCATCCACAAAATCTAAAATTGCTGGGAAAGAATTGTTTCATTTGGTTTCTATAAAATATATCCATTTTAGTAAAAAAAATACTGAATTTTAAACCAAAATTTGGTTTCAGCCCAGAAATGTTTAGTGAAGCATAATATGTGATATTATATTTAGATAATTTTATATTATCTTCTGTATTTATCATGAACATATGACTTAGATATTGGCTAGATGAAATATATTTGTGTTGTTTTGTAGGTCTGTTTTCCTAACTAAGCATAAAGTCACACAGATCAAACTTATATTGAAATTTTTAAAATATGATTTATTATATGCATAATATATAGTCCTCAAAATTATTCATATTTTAAAATACAAGTGCACACAAATATGTGCTATTTATAAATGACATTGTATTCCTTATGATTTTCTTATATTCCTTATGATTGGTACACTCCATTAAACCACTTTATCTTCTTAAGAGTTGACTATTAAGTGTCATTTTAAAATATTTAATTCCATCAACTGTAGTATGTAGATTTTGTTAAGCATTCTGCAGGACACTGAGGAATGGAAATTAAAGAACTGTTCTCTCCTTATGAGGAATCCATACTGCAGTAGATAACAGATTTAGTTAAAAAACTGCTATTAAGACACTGGAATATATTCTTGTGTGTGCTGTGGAATAACATTAGAAACCAAAACGAGATAAATAAATACTCACATAATACTAATAACTTCACATAAATACTAATAAACTAGTCAGTTTGGAATTTTAGAAAATACATATGGTTTTACACAAAGAGAAAAAGAAACTTATACTCTAGGACCTCATGGGCCTCTTTCCCCATTAAATCAGTATATTGGCCACCGTCTTCTCTCTATAAACAAAATGGTTTGCAGGAATACGGAAGTTAATAAAAACAGATTACCGTATACTTGCTGACCCATTCTGTAATACCTTTATAAACTGTGGAATCATTAGCAGTTCTTATCTTTATATTAAAAAATAGTGCAAAATGCTAATTATGGCCTTTTCTGCAAGATGGATTAAGCAATGTAGTGATGTTTCTTCAGGTGAGTGATTTGTTATGTTT